TCAGCCCCTCGACAATACACTCTTTACTTTTCTGTTCTGCATGGACAATTACAAGCTCTCGATGTATTGTGGACACCATTTATGGTCAGTTTACTCAATGGCTTTTACAGTCTTGAGCTTTTTCTTCAATGTCAGTGGGGTTATTGCACCATGTAACGTATACATTGTAATTTGTAGTAATGGAAAAAGGACATGAATGACTTTATAAACATATTCTGCCTTCTCCCTCTCATTCAAACTGTAAATTTGATTTAAATCTGTTTTTGTTTTGTTTTTTGTGATGAGGCTGATTTCCTTGTGTGTGAGCGAAGAAATCATTGTCTTTGGGCACATGCTACTTCATTGCAAATGCCAGCCAAGACATTAGGCTTTCACTAGAGCTGCATTTGAAATCAGAACGGCATATTCAAAGCTCTTGCACTGATTCATCAGTAGACCCCCATTTTATGTGTTTTAGCTGCAGTTGTGCCCCTCAGATAGGTTTATGTGTCAATCCCAACATGTTCCAAGTACATAGTCCTGTCTGTACACGCTGCTTTATAACATTATTTCAGGTTGACAGTTAATATCTGTTGTTTTGTATCACACTTGGATGTGTAGCAGGCAATTGTACACTGGTTTCTTCCATATATGTAAAGAGAAGTGATTAAAAGAAGCATATGCCTCACAGCTGTACAGAACAAAGGGTAACTTATCAATAGATGACCAATTTGTGTTTGCACTCTTAATATCAATGCAGGTGTGACTAAAAGATGAAAACAATGTTGTGACCTGTCAATTCAGTTTATAAATTTCAGTTTGTTAAATGCAGTGAGGTTTTTGTCTACATATTTCTAATAAACTGTCTCTAAACAACACTGAATTGTTTCCTGTGTTTGTACATCAAGGATCATTTGCAGTAGTGCGTGGTATTGCAGACAATATTTGTTCATTAAATTATTGGAAGCAGATTTTTTATAAAAAATTTTTAATGTAAACCCTTTTTACTCTAGGGTTAAATTAAAATGAGACATTGTTACCGAGTTATTTCTATTTTACATTGTTTTGACGCCTGATTTCACAAAGCATGTGCAATTAACCTAATTCTAGATATGAGATTTATCGTGAACACTGCTAAAACTGATATTACAGTATGAAATATAGATTTATCAAATCAATGGCACGACAACATTTGTCGCTGCATCCATAAAATAAAACAAAGGTGCCGGAGCATTTAGTCCTTGTTCATGTAAAGAGAAAAACAGTCCTGCCTCCACAAGAGGACGCTATAGTTCCTTTTCTGCTAAACGTACCTGGCAAGAATGAATTTGCACTGCGTTTTCGAGAAGTGATAGCACATTCGACGGGACAGCATCTGTTTAAAAGCTAAAAGTCAGTTAAAAGCCTCTTTGGTAAGTAGCTACAGTATAATTTTAGAGTTGAGTACCAACTTTAGCACAATACATTATATGCTAACTGAAGGTTTGTGCAATTAAAAATATCACTTTTCAAACTGCTAGAAGAACGAAAGTTTGGAACTATGGTTATCAGGAGCAAAAACAGTATCAGAAGAAAAGAAATAAGCCTATGAAGAGTATTGTAAAAAAAACAAAAAAAAAAACAGTCACACTCCTTAGAGTCTTTCAAGGTTTTGCTCACACACTGAACACATACACTATTAAACATTCACCAAATATTCAATATTCATCCCAGAATGAAAGAAATTACGTTTTCTTCACCAAATGTTCTCTTTTGTTCTGCCACATTAGCTGTGGAGATTCCAGCACCAACCTCCTGATCATCCTGATGGTGTGAGGTCTGGGTTCTGATTGGACAATTCTAATGCAGAAAGGTAAGGGTTCCACTTGAGCACTTAGTTTTTAGCCCTGAGGTTCTGGAATCCAGAAAGTTCCTCAGAGAACTGGCCTTTTAAAAAAAAGTTTAGTTTTTTCTCCCCCAGAGGGTATGGTGTAGGGATGATTTTTTTTTTTAGTTTTTCTTTGTGTCTGGAAGTTTTATATATA